ATGAGAGAGAACCATGGATTGGCCGCCTCCTGCACGCCCCCCACGGGGGATGGAGCCGCAACCCGGGCCTGCGCCCTGATTGGGAATCGAACCCTGACCTCCTGGTTCCTAGGTCGACGCTCAACCACGGAGCCAGCCAGGCCCCTGTAATTGAATATAGGACATCTCAGAATTTTCTCCTTGTCAGAATACAGGCACCTTAAACGTTTACCAGGGGGAGTTAGAATGTTTAACTGCTGCAAAAGACAATTTGGGAACTTTTATTAGAATTTTGAATTCATGTTGCCCTTTGACAGAATTCTTCTTTCAGATTGTGTTCTGCAGATAGCTGCACAGGTGTGGAATGATGTAGGTCAAAAGCTAGTCATCAGGTTTTTGGTTATTTTCCCATTTTGTTAGCTTAACAACAAAAGGCTGAAGTGAGAAGCACCAGGCATTTGAGACGGGAAAGAATAGCTGTGCCAGAAGCACTGATTGAGGCAGAAAGGCCGGCAGGCCCCGGATCAGGAGTGTTTATGGGCCAGGGCGGGGCAGCTCACGGCTCCAGGAAGAGCCTGGAACGGTGTTAATGAGCCGAGGAAGGAATCCGGGTGTGAAGAAGCCAACAGTGATTGTCATTGCAAGTGAATCAGCCACTGAGGCGGTGGGGAGAAAGAAATTTCAGAAACAAAGTATCGACTGGTGAAGGGGAGCAACCTTTGCACCCCAATACATGCTTCTGTGGCATAGGGTTACTTTAGGCTGAGTGATTTGAGGAAACAGCAGGCGTGGGAGACGTTCTGAAAACCAAGGAGAAGACAACCTTTGTGAAGGTCGCTTGTGTTTGCAGGGGAGCCTGAGGGCGGTTCCCTCCCGGGCCAGGCCTGCCTCGCTGTGGCTGGAGAAGGCCTGCGCTCTGAGGGTGGGGAAGGGGCCACACAGAGCCCCGATGGACAGGCAGTCGCGGTGGGCAGGCTTGTCCGAGGCCGCAGCTTTCTTGACCGGGTCAGTCTTCACCTTCACTGAGCCTGCCTGTCATCTCTTTGCATCTAGAATAGCATGTCTTTGGAATGTGAGGGTCATTTCCTTTTCCCAGACCCCTCAGGGCACCATCTCCCACCAGAGCCCTTCTTTACTGTGTGCAGCCTTCTACCCGCCAGTGTTAACACAAGTCTGTGTCTATCGCTTTACTTTTCATACAGGCCCACAGCTTCCTTGCTCTCTCCTGCCCCCTCCCCTATCACCAGGTGATTTCGTGTAACCCGTATGTGTTCCCCTTTGATTCCGACGTGGAAATAAGTGGCAAATGGCCATTTTCCCCGAGCGTTTTCTCACTCCGTTGAGATTTTGCTTCCTGGCAGTTGACATCAGTTTGGCTCAGATAAACGCATAGAAATCCGAGCAGGTGACAGCCTGAGCTGTGTCCTGCGCTTCGCCTGGTCACGCCCATAGCTGGTGCTCCACCCCCACGTCTTCCTTCTTGTGTTTCAGGTGCCCTGTTGGTGAGGTACTCAGTGTTCTACCTCGTTTACAGGGTGTGGACATGCCATTAAACTGTAATTTGTTTTTCTCCCGCTAATCTGTCTCTTATCAACTTGCTTTCTGGGCCAGCCAGAAGAACTTAAACGGGTAGATGTGTGGCAGTGTAGTGAAAGTGGGGAGATCCCTGGGCACGTAGCAGGGAAACTGAGACAAGAAAATGGAATAAGACCAAACAGTCTGGGCTGCTTGCAGCCAGCTGGTGAATCACAAGACCTCATCCTCGCCAGCCCAGGACACCTGAGAACAGAAGGTTACGGCCGCTGCTGCCGAACCAAAGAATGTGCAGCTTAACCGCCCGGCCTGGGAAACAGAGCGAAGAGCCAGCTGTGCCATTTGTGCAGCTAAACCCCCGGACAGAGACCACGGGGGCGGCGTGGGGTGGAGGCGCGTTGGACAGGAAAGATAGCAGCTGGGGCGGGAGGCGGCGAAGGGGGCAGAAGGGGAGTTTATCTCACCCACAAAGAAGTCAGCTGCCTGAGGACTGGCCGGGCCAGATGGCCAGATGTGCGTGGGCGTGGGGCCTGAAACCTCTGCTTCCCCAGGCGTCCAGCAGGGGGGCTTGGAAAGCTCTCCGGGGCGGGGCGGGGGGAGAGGGGTGTAAAACCCAGTCACAGTCACGGCACACACAGCGCACGCACAGCCTGTCTGCAGGGAGGAGCCAGGAGCGCCCTTGGTGAGAAGCCGTGAGAGCTGGCACTCCAGGGGAAGCATCCTCGTGCGGAGCAGGACATTTCCTTGGGGGAAGTGTAGGTGCTCTCCCTTGGGGGTCAGCACCCCTTTGCTCCTGGGTCTGCTTTGCCTCTCGTGCTGTAAACATTCCTTGTGCTGACCGCAAGGAGAAGGTTGTGGCTAAGTTTGGCCAAAGTTAATGACTTTAGCAAAAGATTTACCAGAACCTTGGGCCGTCAGGGGATCTTGACCGTTTCCGTGCCGTGGGTGAGAGGCACGTGGCAGTGCAGCAGAGTATAGAGGCCTTTCCTCACCGTGTTTCAGGATGCAGAGATCTGTAGGCTTACAGAGGAAATAAATTGCGAGAAAGTTATTAAAGTATTTTAAATTGTAATATAACAATCGGTGCTTCTGAAATAAGACCCGGCCGCAGTTGAATGACTGCGGTGACTGTGAAGTAGTAACGAGCCCCAACAATGTCTCAGGGTCTGGGGACCCACTGCTCCGTGAGGTGGAAGCATCTGTCCTTTCTTCTGGCGACCGTCACGGCTCACTCTTCACCCGCGGGACTGGTGGCCTGCGCTCAGAAGGGAGAGGGCGGACGTGAAGGTGTGATCCTAACCCATCCAAGTCCCTGGACTTCGGTTCCGCCCACAGGCGTCCCCAGACCCCAGGCCCCAGGTTTGGCCACCAGTGTGTCTAGGAGCAACCACTCTGGCGGTTGATAGGAAACAGATGGGACGGAAGCTCTGAAAGGGCTGGGCGAGGCATACACCCCAGGTCCACTCAGGAGCCCTGCTGCTCTGCACAGACCATGAGGAGGTGCGGTGGGTGCTCCGTGCACAAGCACGTGCTGGCGGCCCCGAGCTGCACGGCTGCGGCCACCACGCAGGGCAGGGGCTCTCAAAAGTCACCATCGAGCCAGCAGCGTGGCTCAGGGTTCCAGTCCCCAGTAGGGGGCGTGCAGGAGGCGGCCGACCCAGGATTCTCTCTCGTCTCTGATGTTTCTCTCTCTCTCCCTCTCCCTTCCCCTCTGAAATCATAAAAACATTTTTTAAAGAATGGATTCCGCTGGCTCAGCATACAGCCCCTGTCTCTCCAGTGAGCACTTCCCCCTGCACTGTGTCCCCCCCGCCCCTTTCTGGCCCAGGTGTTCAGGTCCCAGCTCTGTCTCTGAACAAGGGGAGCTCCATGCGACTTTGCCTAAACTGGCTGCCTCCTCATTTCAACACAAAGCCAAGTGGAGCGGAGGAATGGAGACACTCTTCCTTCTGTGTGGCCAGCGCTTCTGTCCCCGTTCAACCGGAGCGGAATGCGCAGCACAGCCCGCAGCGATGGGCGCAGGGAACAGCCGTGGGTGCAGCGGGCGCTCCCTCCGGTTCTCCTTGTGTCAGTGGCTCCGCGGGTGTGGGTGTCACCAGAACCCGCAGGAGGGAGTTGCCGTGACGCAGGCGCTGCTTGGCCCTCCCCACGGCGCCCGGTGCGATCAGCAGCTGCTGGGAAGCTCCCAGCGGGCGGGTGCCAGGGCCCGAGGCAGCCTCTTCCTTGTTAGGGAAAAGGGAAGCAGGGGTTTCTGTCTAAACAGCTTTGTTCCCGAATAACTGCCCTACCATGCAGCTCAGTCACTGTAAGTGAATGATACAGTGATTTTCAGCCATTGACAGAGTTGTGCGCCCGCCCATCGCCCAGAGAGGCTGGGAGATGTGCCCCGCCCCAGCAGCCGCCTCCCTCCCTCCCTCTAATTTTCATGAATAGAATCACAATATGTGCACTTCTGTGCCAGCTGCCCTTCCTGGGCATGTTCTCAGGCTCAGGAAATGACTGATTCCTTGTCTCCTTTACTAAAATGCCGCAAAAGAACAGTGAAAAGGTATAATAAGTCTTTAAAATGGGATGGCCTCTTTTTTCAACAAAATTGTAGCAACTCATTGCTGAGTAGAATGGACACAGTGACAGGGAGTGCCCTAGCCTGGCAGGTCCCTGAGGTCACTCGCCGCTGGGACCGCGCCCGTCATGACGACTGGCCGCCAGGGACACCGTGGACCTGGCAGAAAGCCATCTCCGTCCACGGAGCCCTTTCTGGTGGGTCCTCGCTGGGCCCTTCCCATGGCTTCTCTCCTTGTCCTCCGGACACCGAGCGGATTCTCTGCACTTCACAGGGAGGGACCAGGATGGAGGTGCTAACGGAGGTCAGATATCCCTTGTCCAAGGTCACGGCCTTGTTGGATATGAGGTGCGAGGGTTCGAGGCCAGTGCTCTGACTCCAGAGCTGCTTTTCTCTTAAAAAAAAAAGTTTCTATTGATTTCAGAGAGGAAAGGAGGTGGGGAGAGAGATAGAAACACCAGTGATGAGAAGAACCATGGATGGCTGCCTCCTGCACGCCCCCCACTGGGGCTCGAGCCCGCAGCCCGGGCCTGTGCCCTGCCCTCCTGGTTCCTAGGCGGACGCTCCCCCGAGCCACGCCGCTGGCCAGAGCACCTTTTCTTCACCCTTTTTGTGCCGTGCTCTCCTCCCAATGAGAAGCCGAAGAAACAAAACAGGCCGTGGACGTAGCATGAGCTCCATCTAGAAAGTTCTCTTTCCTTGCAGGTAAAAGTTAATCATCTGGGAAATGTGTTCATTCGGAGCAGCTCGTTGCTGGCAAAGGAGTGATATCCCCGAAGCCAGTGTTTGCTTTTGTTCCCATGACCGTGAACAAGAAGTTGATGTTCTGACACTTCCCCTACCGTGTGTGTGTGTGTGTGTGTGTGTGTGTGCACCTGTGTGTGCATATATGTGTTCATGTGGGTGGTGTATGTTCCCTATCCATGTGTGTGGTGTGTGTATGTGTGTACACGTGTGCTGTGGGCTCCCTACTCAACGGGGACTGTTTTTACAGCTTAGACGAAACTTCCCAACCTGCCTGCCTGCTTGGAAGAGCCCTCCCCGGGCCCCCCGGGCCTCCCACTCCGAGGCTCTGCTCAGCCCGGCAGGCGGCGGGCTCCCCGGTGCCCCCCTGCAGACGCTCTCCGATGAGGAGCTGATGATCCAGAGCGCAGGTGAGCGGGCCCCTGGCCGGGTCGGGCTGCGGCATGAGGTCCAGGCACACGGGCGGATCTATGCACCTGTGTTTGTGAATGGAATTGTTTGACACTCATTTAAAATTCTTTTTGAAAAAAGTAATGCACGTCATAGCAACAGAGTAAAGACTTACGGTACTTTTTTTCCTACAGTTAAAAAATTTGCCCGGGAACAAGTTGCTCCTTTGGTCTCGACCATGGATGAAAATGCAAAAATGGAGAAATCAGTCATACAAGGACTGTTTCAGCAAGGGGTACACATGCATGTCTTCCATTTCCATCCCTGCAAACACCTCCCGGGTTAAAATGCTGGCCCGCTTTTAGATGATGTAGGGTCTGTGAGGATAGCATCTGAGCTCTGCAGGGAGCTACCGCCCCTGCCTCAGGCCCCGCCCTCGCTGCGTCCTCCCGGAGCCCAACCACTTCCATCTCCCTTTGAGGCTGTCCCTTCAGCCCAGCTCCTGTCCCCCAGCTTCAAACAGAAAGCCACCACCAGACGGCAGTGGAGGGGCCAGAGTGTCGGAGAGGAAGGGGGCGCGCTCGCCTGCCACTGTTTCCCGCGCCGGGTGGTGAACTACATGCACCTCCTTCCTCTTCCTGGAACAAGGACTTGCACCCGGGGAGCTGGGGGTCCTGGTCCGGGCCGGGCTGCTGAGCGGCTGCGGGTCCTGGGAAGCCCGGCCGCCGGTCCAGCTGTGTCCGCTATCGGGGTTTGCTGCTGTGGCTCAGAGGAGCCGCCCTGGAGGGTTGAGGAGTCAGGGGCAGCTCCTGGCTGGGGAGGGGGTGCTGAGTGCGAGCGGACGTTCCCACGAGCAGGTCCCCTTCAGTGTCCTCCTCCCAGTGACACCAGTGGGTAGGGCCGCCACCTGCAGGCCTGCGCGGTGAAGGTCGTGGGGTTGTTCGCGGCAGGCTCCTCGCGTCCTTCCCTGGTCTTCACAGCGCCTTCCCTGTGCTTCGCTCTCTAGGTCACAAACGGAAGCAGGTAGCGTAGCGTTTAGTTACGTCACCGTTTCAGATTTGTGCGGTCTGTGTCATATACATAAGTACAGTGAGGCGCTCATGCGAAATACAGGATTGAGAGGGCGTGGCCACAGCTTACCTCTGACTCTCCCACAGTTCATGGCCGTGGACATCGACCCCAAGTACGGAGGGACCGGGGCCTCCTTCTTCTCCCTGGTCCTGGTGGTGGAGGAGCTGGCCAAGGTGGACGCGTCCGTGGCGCTGATCTGCGACATCCAGAACACGGTGGTGAACGGGCTGGTGCGGAAGCACGGGACGGAGGAGCAGAAGGCGGCCTACCTGAGCCAGCTGGCCACGGCCAAGGTGAGGCCGCGGGGGGCGGGGCGGGGCTTTGTGCTCAGTCTGGGAGGACGTGCTGTGGGGAATGGCTGCTCCGGGCCGGAGAGCGGGCCCGCAAAGGCCCCTGGTGCGTTCACACCGCTAAACACACTCTGCCTGTCACCTGCCACTTGGAACCTGAGAGAACGGTCGAGTGGCGGTGGAGTTACTCTTTCTGACTCGATGGAGGGCTCCCGGCCATCGCGCTGTCCTCCTGGAGAAGCCGATTCACTTAAACCCAGCATTGGACGTGTGTGCTGGGCCCAGCCTGCCTGAGACGGGGTCGGGGAGACACTGCCGTCGGGCGCCGTCTCGCCCGGGAGCACACAGGTTGTGAGCGTGGCCGGCAGCTGAGCAGTGCTTGCTGCCAAGAGCGTGTCATGTGGAGTGTGACAGTGACTGGCGCGCGTGCCCCGCAGGTGGGGAGCTTCTGCCTGTCGGAGGCCGGGGCCGGCAGCGACTCGTTCGCCCTGAAGACCAGAGCCGAGAAGAAGGGGGGCCACTACGTCCTCAACGGGTCCAAGATGTGGATCAGCAGCGCCCGGGAGGCCGAGCTCTTCCTGGTGATGGCGAACGCGGACCCGGGCGCGGTCAGTTCCTGCACCCCGTCTGTCCTTTCTGTCCGTCCCGCGTCCTGGTCCCTAAGGCCTTGTCCTGGAGTCTCCCTCCTCGGCGCCCTCCTCCCTCGCAGCCCAGCCGCCTGGTGCTGTGCAGGTGTGCGCCCCGCGGGGCGGCCATCGTTGGTGTCATGTCATTTCTCATTCCCTGCTTAACGATGAGAAACCCAGGTACCTGGTCAGTACATTTAGTTTTAAGACTATTTTATTCAATTGGAAAATAGACATACAGCGAAGTAAATACATTTTAACTTTTGTCTTTTCTCGAATGTGACATTTAATTGAATTAAGTTTTAAGACTTTGAAGTCTTTAATGAAATGGAGTATGAAACGTGGAGTCCCCATGATCATGTGGTTCTGTAACTGGATCATGTAAAAGCCCCACTGGGTTCTGAGGAAGGAGGGGGGCGAGGCGCGTGAGTCTGAGCCCGGGCCCTCTGCTCCTCCGTGTCGCCTACCTGCTGCAGTGCCAGCCCGGCGGCCCTGAATGGTGGGAAGGAGGGATCTAATCAGCCGGGTGCTCACACCCCCTCCCCTAGGGGTACCGAGGCATCACCTGCTTCGTGGTCGACCGGGACACGGAGGGCTTCCACGTGGGGAAAGCCGAGAACAAGCTGGGCATCAGGGCCTCGTCCACCTGCCCGCTCACCCTCGAGGACGTCAAGGTGGGTGGAGCTCCGGCGCGTCGGCGTGTGAGCCAGCTCCGCGCGGATCACGGTGCAGGGAGGCGGCGACCGCTGGACCGGTGGGCCCGGACGAGGACGTGCTCAGGGCCATGATCGCTGTGCTCCCCGAGGGTTAGGCCAGAGGAAGCCTGGCTGCCCGGCAGCTCCTGAGTCAGGGATTGACCCATTTACCCACGTGATGCTGTGGCCAGGCTCAGGCAGGAGCCTGTGTGGGTGCAGCGCAGGCCACCAGGTGGGGGTGTTGCTCAGGGAGATGGGAAGCACCGGGCAGCGCCCCTCAGTTCTGAGTTGAGTCTTTTAAAATGAGGGTGGACTTTAGAGAGAGAGGCCGTGAGGGTGGACTTTAGAGAGAGAGGCCGTGAGGGTGGACTTTAGAGAGAGAGACTGGCCCGCAGGTGTCGGGGCCTCATGGCTACCTTTCTTCTTCCTGCTTTCTCTTCTCTTTCCCCATTTCCCGTCTCTCCTCACTGTCCTTATCCTAAAGCCAGTGCATGTGCATCTTTTGCTGCTTCTGGTGCAGCTTTTTGAAAATGATGCGTGAACATGGTCACCTCCCTCCTTCCCTCCTCTCCAGGCGCACACGCACGTGCACACACATGCATTCTCCTGGGTGACAGTCTCCACAGGACAGTTCCCGCCCGAGCGGCCACAGGGCGTCCGTGTTTCCTGCGACTCCCGTGTCGCTCACACTGGGCCATGCGGACAGGAGCTGGGGACGCCTCGTTCCTTCGTGCTGTTGAGGAGCCGTGAGCGTCTCCTGCCTCTGGACGCATTCGTCGCCAGCAGATGCCGGCGGGTTCTGGGCAGGGGCCGTCTCTCCCAGAGCCGTGCCGGGAGCCATTCACCGCGGGACACAGCTGGGGCCGAGCACTGTGCGGGGTCACGGCACACGCGTTGCAGTCGATGTGCATTAAAAGTAAAAAATCAGCCGGGCCGGCGAGGCTCAGTGGTTGAGCATTGACCCATGGACCGGGAGGTCACGGTTCGATTCCCGGTCAGGGCACAGGCCCAGAGGGGGGCGTCAGGAGGCAGCCAATCAATGACTCTCATCGTTAATGTTTCTGTTCCTCTGTCCCTCTCCCTTCCTCTCTCTGAAACCAACAAAAACATT